CCCATTCACTGCAGAGGATCCACTGGCGGGCAAGTGAAGTAATGCTACATTTCTGTCAGTCTGCTTCCATGAATAAACAAACTCGTCTACATCTTGGATGGCCTGAGAGTGAGTACATTTTCAGCACATTTGACTGTTTAGTTCGTAATGCACGAATGTTTAATGTTAAATGCACATTAAAGAACAGCATCTGCAAATGTTTTTGATTACCACTCTCTGTGATAGGGACCCAAGCAGGGACTATATAAAAACCAACAACATTTTTTACAGTAAAGCATGTACAATGGAAGTCTACAGGGCAACCAAAGCAACTGCCACAGCCGAGTTGAAATGATGTTTGATGGTAACTGGCAGCATGTTGCCATGTATTTAACCTGGAGTCCTAGCTTAAATCACTTTTATTTAAGCTCCACTTATGTACACCATTGAGCCACGAGCGCACACAGCAGCAAGTCTACTAATATATGATGGTATGACGTGGTACTGTGGGTAAACATGAGCAGGGTGACTGTGCAAATGGCATGGACCGGCTTGAGTTTTAAGTCGTAAGTCTAAGTGTGGTTAAGCATCCCTCAGGCCACATCCAGAACTCCTGCGGCCACCAGCTGGCGTGAGAGCCAGTCTAACCCCTCGTGTAGACCCATGCCGCTGCGGGCGTCACAGCCCTGGATGTGCCAGCTGCGGCCGCAGCACAGTTTGTGTAAGCTCAGGAGCTCCGCCATCTCCTCCACAGACACCGCACCGGGAAAGTCCTACAGAGAGACAAATCTTGTTTATGAGTTCAAGGTCAAGGATTTGATTCACAAAGAACACACATATTGGCAAAATGCAATAATCTGACAAATACATAATATACACAAGGTGCATATTTATTAGGCAAGTTGATATTCTGATGATTTTTTTCCCCCACATTTTACCAATCTATGTCATCAGAAATTGATTATTAAAATCTTTTTCTATACATGTGCATATAAGGCACAATAATGAGATGTGTTTGTGTGAATGTCCCTCCACTCAGAATTTCTAATTAAACTAAACATTTGTCAAATCTCTCACCTGTTTGTTGGCGAAGATGAGCAGCAGAGCATCTCTGAGCTCTTTCTCGGTCAGCAGTTTGGCCAGTTCACTGTGAGACTCCATCAGCCGGTCTCTGTGACAGCTGTCGATCACAAACACCACCGCTGGGAGACAACAGAAGGCCAATTTCAGTCATACACGCTCATTATGCAAGAAATGTGACTGAGTTTCAACACCACAGTAAAGTGAACTGTTACCTTGTGTGTTCAGATAGTAGTGTTTCCATAGGGGACGGAGTTTGTGTTTGCCACCAACATCCCAAATGGTGAATTTCAGGTTTTTGTACTCAACGGTTTCTACATTAAAACCTAAAACAGAAAGAAAACCCCTGATTATCTAAACAACGAGGCATGTTGGGATTTGTATACATCATGTATTGCAGTCTCAAGTAGATACCTATGGTTGGTATAGGCTGCATAAACTCATCTTGCTTCAGTTTGAAGAGAATAGTAGTTTTGCCAGCTCCATCTAAACCCAAAGTCACAACGCGGATCTCCATTTTCGGACCAATGTGCACACGGTTGTCCTGGGGAAAAGATGGACTCATCAGTTTAATTAGGATGACCATACGTCCTCTTTTTTTCCCCCAGACTGGGATTCCTAAATTGCCTAAAATGGCTTTGTTTTTATATTGTATGCATTCATCAAACTACTTTTCAGTTATTACCTTCAGCAAGTATGAAAATAATAGGAAAACAAACCAAAAAACAGGCATTTTAGGCAATTTAAAAATGCCCATCAGGATGTAGTCACCTTAGTTCAATATATCAAAAAATGTTTAAAATACAAATTGATTTTTATTTTATTTTTTTTTAAATATCATGAATTACTGCACCACATAACATTTTACAAGCCGAACTAACCTTGCTATGACACAAAAAGGTCAAATTACCTTGGTGAAAGTAACAGGGATGCCTGCATCCAGTTGAATGTGGTCGGCCAGCTCTGTAAACTGCTGCTGCTGTTTCTGCAGTGTTTCTAGTAACCGGTTGATCTCCTGTTTTGCCAAAACCACCCTGCAATCATCCTAGCGGAAAAACACAACAACAAAGCAACTCAAATGCCTGAACTGCTTATGATCCCACTGATCCTGTCAGGTGTTTGAGTCTGTACCTGCTGCAGTGTTTTCTCACAGTGCAGACAGGCAGTGGACACCTGTGACAGCAGTATGGTCATGTCCTCCTGCTGCTGTCGAAGCCAGATCAGCCTCTCTCGGACGTGTGCGTCCACCACGCTCAGAGCCATCTCCTCCTGACGGCACAACGTCTCGTGTAGATCCGCAAAATAGGCACGCACACAAGATCGGGCACTTTCGGCTGTTCCTGATACCTGAGTGGAAACCAAGGAAGAGTTCAGTGGAAACTTATTTAGATCGCAAATGCAATATGAACACCCAAAACACACTCATACATGTTCAGTGTGAGCCATGCCCATGCTGTCCTCCACGATCTGCTCTCCTCCTTCAATCTGCTGCACGATGCCCACTAGTTTCCTGGAGTACTCCGACACTTCCTCTGTGAACGTACGGATGCAGTGTGCCATATCCAGAATGGATGCTCGGATCTGGTTGGCTTCAGCCTCTAGAACAGCATGCTGGTGAAATGTTTTGAAAATGTGAAAAAAAGATTGAAAATATGAACCGGGCTCGATACAAAATATCCTGTTTGCAATAAGACAAATGTGTGAATGATCTCAGGATGGGTAAGAATTGTTTGACTGACAGTGAACTGATTTTAATTTAGTATAACTGAAGTAAATGCCATATTTGACTTTATTTTTAATGATTTTTGATATGTCTGTATAAAAACTAAAAATGACAAAAGCACACAACACAACAAAACTTCAACTAAAAATAAAATAAAAATAAAAACTAATATATAAAATATTAAAACTACAATAGTATTTCAATGATACTAATATAACACTGTTTAAATTCATTTTCCACATTTTATATTTAGTTTAGTTAAGTCAAGAAGTCATTTTGTTGCGTGTGATTTTTTTTTATTTTTTATAAGTCTATACAGCTTTATCATTCTTTATTTCAGTTTT